ATTATTACGATTATGTATTTTCTATTCTCTATGGAGCTGCAGTATGACAAGGAATGTAAAGCATATTGCTAGAAACGGTTTTCCAAATTTACAACAACAGGGCATAGGCTAGTCTGTTTGAGGTGAAATATGAAATACATGTATCAATGGATTATATGGTTTATCGATACTATCTCTGTTGAAAGTACTAGGAGCTCATTCTGGTCTGCATAAAATTATTTTAAGCAAAGTGGGGATTTATAGGTATTATACTCAATTTTGGCAAAATTACCTTTCCAAACAGCACAAATTACCTCAAGCAGTTTTATGGTAGCGGATGTAAATTCTTCTTAATGTGTATTATTTTTCCCCTCCAAAAACAAGAGTATGCCCCTGCACTAGCATGATTTTTTTGGAATTTTACTCAAGAATTCGTTCACTATGCAGTATACATATAATAACATATTATAATACATATATATAAATATTTTTGAATTTTCACTTTCCAGAATATTATTAAAGTTTCATTCTGAAAAAAATTATATTTCTTCATTTATAAAATTTATAGTCAACTCATATTCAATTTAAATCAACTCAATACAAAATAAAGATTATCAACCTTTCTGGATATATATAATTACTGCAAAGCACTCATAAATGGCTGTACAATGAAAAAAAATTTCATGTATTAAAGAACTTGTCAATAAGAAACATGCACACTTAATAACAATACTAAAAACTCGTCTATATTAACCTTACTAAGGAGGGCCTAAGGAGTTCACAAACATGTAAATTTTCTTTGGGACGTCCATAAATGATGCCAACAAATAACAACACTTGATAAAAATATTCCAAGTAAAGTGGAAAAAAATCTCATGTCGTAAATGACATTACGAGCCTTAACATGATACTAGTATTCCATAGGAGTATTATCAAGTTAATGGTTTAATAATTACAATAATTCCAAAGTGATTACATGTATAAAATCATTGCCAATATTTAAATTCATTCATTCAAACTAATAGAGATAATTTAACAATTATTAATATTTTGAATTTAAATATAGTCTCAAAGGAGCTGCAATATGCATGCTATGACAAGGAATCTAAAGAATATCATTACAACGATAAGTGTATTCCAAATTTACAACAACAGTGCAAAGACATTGACTAGTCTGGTTGTGGTGAAACATGGAATATCAATTGCTTTTAATTTATCTTTTGAAAGTACTCGGAGCTCGTTCTGCATACATTATTTTTTGATAACAATTTAAACGTAGTGGGAATTTATAGGTACTGTTCGCACTTTCGGCAAAATTACATGTACTTCCCAAACAGCACAGACTAACCATAGCAGTTTTCGGATAGAGGATGTAAACTTTTCTTAAGGTCAGAAGACATGTTCCTTAATTATATGTTTAGTGTATCTCTTGGTGTCAGATAAAAATTACACATATTTGGCATTTTTGAATTCACGTATAACGATATCTAATTAATGGGGGTTTTGTGTTTTTTTTTATAAAATTGAATAAAAAAAGGTATAATGTGTCAGATGAAATGACAGTAAGGTTTTGGAATAAAAGATGTTTTTAATATTATTACGTGTACAATTCGTCAAAATCATGAATAATGTGTAGTCTCTGTTAGACTGGCCTTCCTGTCTGATATGCGCGTACGATAGCGACAGGAAATACTAGTCTAAGTCTCTGTACAAAAATAACTTCCGACTAACAAAATTCCTTTTTATAAGTTTGTGGTTACAGCACACCGTCTTACTCAAGAATCATCACTATTAAGTTTTTTAAATGGCCAAACATAAATCGAGGATATCGGTCTAAACAATTTGGATATCAATCAAGTTTATTTTTTTTTATTTTAATGAGGTATGAGGAATATCCCTTTTTTTTCTTCCTTGCTGGACTAAATTCATTATTCATTTAAACAAATAATGTATAGAATATTCGCTTTACCGAGGAAATTGAAAAAAAAACCCATTAATGCTGAATTTTGAAAACTGTCTGCAAAATCAAGAAAGGGGAAAAAAGATCTGTAGGTATTAAATGTTTTCTATAGTTTTTTTAACTTATACAACACAAGTTGCAAACACTTCCCCCATTACATCTAGATCTCCTTCTTGTATTTTTTAAGCCTTTCTCCGATAGAAAGGTGACAATATCAATGTAACCTCTCCGGGCTGCATCATCTAAGGCATTCTCTCCATTATTGTCTTTGACATCTAGTAAATGAGGGTAAGTATTGACCAAGTATTTACACATATCTAGTTTTCCGTGCATACAGCATAGATGAAGCACAGTTTTCCAATCATTTCTTATGGTTTTGATATCTAAGCCTTTCTCCAACAGAAATTTGAACAAATCAATGTTACCTCCCCACGCTGCTGTATGTAAGGATTTCTCCTTTATTGTCTTTGACATCTAGTAAATGCAGATAACTATGTTTCACTAAGTACTTACACAGATCTAGTTTTCCATTCATACAACATAAGTGAAGCACAGTTTTCCCATCGCCTCTTGTGGTTTTGATATCGAAGCCGTTCTCCAACAGAAATTTAAACAAATCAATGTTACCTCCCCACGCTGCATATGTAAGACATTTCCTCCATTATTGTCTTTGATATGCAGTAAATGTGGATAATTTTCGACCATGTATTTACACATATCTAGTTTTCCGTGCATACAGCAAAGATGAAGCACAGTTTTCCCATCATTTCTTTTGGTTTTGACATCAAAACCTTTTCCAACAGAAATTTGAGTAAATCAATGTTATCACCCCAAGACTGCATCATGTAAGGCATTTTCTCCAAGCATTGTCTTTGACATCTAGTAAATGAGGATAAGTATTAATCAAGAACTTACACATATCAAGTTTTCCGTTACTACAACATAAGTAAAGCACATTTTTCCCATCATTTCTTTTGGTTTTAATATTGAAGCCGTTCTCCAACAGAAATTTGAAGTAAATCAATGTTACCGCCCAAGGCTGCATCATGTAAGGCAGTTTCTCCATTTTTGTCTTTGACATCCAGTAAATGAGGAAAAGTATTCAAGTATACACATATCACGTTTTTGACATACAGCAAAGATAGAGTTTTTATCATTTCTTTTGGAATTGATACTGAGGCCTTTCTCCAACAGACATGTGAGTAAATTAATGTTACCTATGATGCATCTAAGGCATTTCTTGCAGTAGTGTCTTTGATATGCAGCTTAAGTGAAGCATATATCTAGTGTTTTGTTCTCCACTGGTGAAGTATCGCCATCAGTTCTTTTGGTTCCGATATCAAAGCTCTCCAACAGAAACATGAATAAATCAATGTTACCTCCCAAGCTGCAGTATGTAAGCATTATTCCCATTTTCGTCTTTGACATCTAGTAAATGAGGCCACAGTGCTGACAAGGTATTTACACATATCTAGTTTTCCATTAATACAACATGTGTGAAGCACTGTTTTCCCATCATTTCTTAAGGTTTCAATATTGAAACCTTTTCCCAACAGAAATTTGAATAAATCAAGGTTACCACCCGATGCTGCTTCATGTAGTGCATTATTCCCATCATTATCCTTGACATACAGTAAATGATGACAAGTGTTTACAATGTATTTACACATATCTAGATTTCCCTTAATACAACACATGTGAAGCACTGTTTTCCCATCATTTCTTAAGGTTTCGATATCAACGCCTTTTTCCAACAGAAACTTGAATAAATCAATGTTACCACCCCAAGCTGAAGCATGTAAAGCATTATTCCCATCATTATTTTTGATATACAGTAAATGAGGATAAGTTTTGACCAAGTATTTACACATATCTAGTTTTCCGTTAAAACAACATATGTGAAGCACTGTTTTCCCATCATTTCTTAAGGTTTCGATATCGAAACCTTTTTCCAATAGAAATTTGAATAAATCAATGCTACCTCCCCAGCTGCATCATTTAAGACATTCTCTCCATTATTATCGTTGAAATCATGACCAAGTCTTACACATATCTAGTTTTCCATTAACAAAAGATGAAGCACAGTTTTCCCATCATTTCTTTTGTCGATGAGGCCTTTTAATTTAAAGAAATCAATATTACCTTTGCATGTAAGGATTTGAGTCTTGCGTTCAAACAGCAAAGGTGAAGCACGGTTTTCCCGTCATTTGTTGTACTTTCGATATCAAGGCCTTTTTCCAACAAGCAGTTAAATATATTAATATTACCAACTGACGCTGCAATATGCAAGCCATTCTCACCATTAATATCCTTAAACTGTAGTAGTTGAAAATTCGTATTGACAAGGAACTTACACATCTCTAGCTGTTGTTCCAAACAACATAGGCGAAAGACAAAGTTTAATTCATTTGCATCGAAATTGTCATCATATCGCTTTCCTAACAAAAACTTGAATAAATCAACATTACCCCCCTCAACTGCATGATAAAGGACACTGTTACATGTTTTGTCGTTGACATCTAGTAAATGAGGATAATTGTTAACTAAGTACTTACACATATCTAGCTTTCCGTTCAAGCAGCATAGGTGTAGCACATTTTCTCCATTAGTATTAGTACAATTGATTTCAAAACCTTTCTCCAACAGAAATGTGAACAAATCAATGTTACCTCCCCAGGCTGCATCATGTAAGGCATTATCTCCATTTTTGTTTTTGTTATTTAGCAAATGAGGATAAGCCTTGACTAAGAACTTGCACATCTCTAATTTTCCCGTTTTGCAAGCTTCTTGTAAAGGTGTACTCCCATCGTCCGAAAATGTTTGCTGTACCCCTTTTTGTACGAAGTATTCATAGAGTTCTATGCTTCCTGATTGAGCTGAAAAGTGTAAAGGAGACCAACCTTGGTTGTCATTATAATCTGAAGAAAGCATATCAGGAAATTCGTCACAGATATACCTGATCATGTTCAGTTGGCCATTTTGACAAGCAAAGTGGAGAACCGTGGAACCATGGTTAGATCTACTGTAGGGATCCAGTCCAGCTTGGACTAAATTTTTAAAGACAGTTTCATCCCCAGCATATGCAACAAAATGTAAAGCATTCCCACCTTCATCATTTTGAACATCAAGTAGCTGTGGGTAACGTGTGAGAACTGGTTTAATGAGGTCATTCTGACCAAGAACGCAAATTTCGTGCAGTAAACCCCATTCATTATTGCAGTCTTTGTGAGTAGATAATGTTATCTTTTTAAGGTCTACATTATCAGTAAAGCGATAAAGCATGCTACGATTTCCACTATGCACCGCATGAAAACAAGTTTTTAAGTTATATTTTACATCCGTTGCTAATATCAAATCAACAATAGCATCGTGATTATGTTCACAAGCTTCATTCAAAGACATATATCTTTGCTCCTGAGAAGATGAGGGCAGCAGATACTTAACCCATCTAATGTTACCAGATACACAAAAATGAACTAACATTGTTCGCCCACAGCTATCAGTATTTTGTTCGATTCCTCTTAGCAGGGTTTGATTTCTTTCACACTCAGACATAAACTTCTCATCTTTCCATATTTGTAGACGGGAAACTGTCCGAAATGCAGATTCTAATGTTTCCTCCAACAATTCCAGCAATCTTTTAATTATTTCTTGGAAAAATTCTTCTGGAATCACTATAGAATTCCAAGACATATTCTTGGAGGTTGTTAATCTCTCTAAAAGGACATGGTCACAACTCTTGATAATTTCATTTGGGTAAAAATTGACCAGACATCTGAATAAGCTCTCTTGTACTGAGCTATGACTAAATTTATATTCTCTTTCGATGGGATCGAAGGTTATCAAGAAATTATGATAATGATAAATAGACCTTTGAAAATCCATTAAAGTTGCATTTTTGGCTCCAATAATTTCAAGTGATTGTTTTTTACGAGGTATGTCTTGTAATGCTGTTTGGAGTACCTTTTCTTCCACACTCCCTCCACAAAGAAGTATATAAACAAGAACTGCTGTTTTGCATTCCTTTCTATCTAAAATGTTTTTAAGATATATTTGTAAGCTTTGGATTGGGTTTTTCAAGAAACCAAAGGTGTCATCAGAAAGCGTAGGATTGTTCTTCAAAAGGTTGCAACATTGGGGGATTCCAAATGTATTCCCAATCTTACCAATATCTAATAAAGTATTGGATTCAAGCAATTTGTCAAGACCATACTTTTTGAAGAATTCAATTATTTCTAAATCTTGGAGTTGAAAGTCTCCATTAGATATATCAATCACAGAATTTGTAAAAAATGATTCTCCAGTTGATCGCTTTTCGGCTGCTTCATTGTAAATATCACTTCTGATTGTTACAATCAAAACATTACCCTTGTCATTGTTGTCATTGCTGCACATTGCTCTAATTAAATGTAATTTGGAATCAAAGTTATCTACTTCATTTGACAATGTGAACTCTCCAAATAAATTATCTAAAAATAAAGCAACGTTTGAAGATGGTGACACGGTCCATTCAATTCCTCAACTGTGAACACCTGAAGAGGTATCATTCCTTTCTTCTGTAATTCTGCTAAGACATACATGGCAATCGTAGATTTTCCAGATCCCGGGTTACCTTTTACAAGTACAAACCTATTTGTGTCTAGAAGTTCAAATACTCTCTGAAGTGCGTGTGTATGAACAAATACATCCCTGATCTTAAGTTCTTGATTTTGTAAAGCAGCTCTTGTTGTATCTAAAAATAAATTCCAGAAATATCTTCAAATTGGCTTTAATATCCACATCAATTAAATATATCCTCCTTTTTTGTCCCCTGCTTTCGTGAAAGCAAGGAGATATTAAATCCCATTCGTCTGTACGTTGCTCTAGCTGTCAGTCCGCCACAAAGACTTTAACCTGGCCCATAACTTTTGATTTATTAGTACTATGACTTTCATATTGCACATATGTATGCCCACTTTAAAACAAAAATTCCAAATTTTACTTTGGCCATATCTTTTGAAGGATTGATAATTGGAGTTTCATATTGCACTTATGTATTCTCTATTGCAACTTTGATCTTGACCTTGGAGATTTCTATACTTAGGCAATAAATATAACTTTTACCAAAACTCCTGAACGCTAAGGACTAGGGATTTTATACTTCATATATGTTATTTATTTAAGAAGACCTTTCATTGGATACCAAGAACTTTTCTTCTGCCTTTAATCTTGGAGTTTGAACTACTTTTAATAACAAGCCTTGAACATAATTTTTGAAGGATGAGAGCTATCATACTTCAAATATTTCATCATGGTGACAAATCCGTTCATTGAATATCAAGAACTTTGAACCCGTAAGCCCGAACTTTGACCTATTTTTGAACACTTTTCGTACTAAGGAAAAAAATAACCTTGGACATAACTTTTTAACTATGTGGAACATTGGTTTCATACTCTACATATGTAATAATTGTGTCAAGACATTTTCGTAGAAATCATTAGAATTGACCCTTTTACATGAGAGTTTTACCTACTTTTTAAAACTTATCCATGGCCATAACTTTGAACAGGAGTTGCTTGGGCTTTCATATTTCACTGTCGTATTTCTTGTTAAAAGTTCCAATTTTGGGTACCAATATATTTAATTTGCATTTAATAAAAGGATTAATTTTCGCTATGTTGCCATTCGGGGTCATAAGTGTTTCCCACGCATGTACACATCTTGTTCCTTTTTACTTTTGATTGAGAAGCGATATAGAACGTTCATATTTGTGCATTACCTTTGCCAAGATATTTCCGAATGATTTCTCACCCCTTGTAAATGCCTATCACAATTGACAATTATTTTTTTTGATTAAATTAACTTTGGTGATAATTTTAAAAGACATATAACAGGGTATTCATATTTGACACAATATGTCATATAAAACGACATCTCACCCATAAAGCCACGGAAAGCGGGGGACCACAAATCTTTGAATTTGCTTTTTTTTTCAAATTTTTATTCTTCTAAGTTTCTTTATCTACCAAGAAAATATGTGGTATAAAGTCTTACCAATCTTTGCTCTGATATTAATATCTGAAAAAGGAAACAAGATATGACTAAAATGATGTTTCTTTTGCTACATTTGAATTTTTACTAGAAGAAGCAATTTGAATTAATGGAGATGTTACAACAAAACCATATGAAAAGTCTTTCTTTCAGATGAAACGCTCAATTTTGTGCTATTAGAGATTAATTTCATGTAAAACGTTTAAACAGTTTGACCAAAACTTTTGATTGATCGATTTATTATATGTTGTTTAATGTCCCTCTTGTGAATTTTTCACTCATAAGGAGACGCCAATACTTGGCGGTGGAGAACTATAAATTTTGCACTATACCCGGCACTTAAAGAAGGTGCAGTGGCTATAGCGTCTGCTCTAGAGTCGCTAAGCAAGGTGTCAACCCTTAGGTCGCCGGTTCGAATCCCACTGTGGGACGTGGAGACCGGCCCTTTGGATGAGACCGTATAAGACCGAATAAGATCCCTCACTGCTCAAGAATCCCACTGTCTTATCAGTAAAATAATTATTCCACACATTCGCACAAAACCTTACCCTATGTTTTGAATTTTATACATATCAACAGAGATTTTCGCAAAATCATGCTTAACTCGGGATTCTAGCAGCACTTTACAAGTTGTCAGACGGCAAACTTTCCATCTGTACAAATCTTATGCTTTAAAATATCCAGCTTATTGTTGTTCTGCTGCATAATTTTTGTCACAAATAACAGAAGAAAGTCCGACCGGGATACATATATAGCCGACTGTCTTCGAAAGAGAATACAATCGATGAAAATAAATTAGCATACCTGTTTAATTAACTGAAATCCATATAAATTTTACATAATATTCATGATATTTGCTTTTAAACTCCATTTCACGTATCACTGTACAAGCCGTCCTAGCCAAATTCTCTTTACACGACATGATCAATTCACAAGTTACCTTGATGTACACATATGACGTCATCGATGGTAGATTTTGATAAAAATGACAGATACAGTGTAGCAAAATAAAAAAAATCATTTTTGTTTATGTTTACACGTTTCTATTCATTTTATAGAGTTTTATTGACGATATAGAGATGAAGTGGGTGGAATGTCGCGAGAGCCTCGCGGCATTCATTACGTTTGCCAACACCTTTCATCAGTCGATCAAATTTACAGTAGACGTATCTAATTCGAAAAACGTATTCCTAGATACTACATCTACCCTGATTGATGGTGAAATCGAATTCAGTCTCCACATCAAACCCACTGACTTCCACCTATATCTTATGCCCTCTAGCTGTCATCCCCCACACACTTTTAAGGGAGTGCCTAAGGGTCTAGCCACCAGAATTCGACGCATCTGTTCGTCCCCTGCCTTATATCAGGAGCAAAGTGGTCTTCTCAAGTCCCACTTATGCAAAAGAGGCTACAATGCCCCGCACCGTACAAACAGCTATTGATGAGATGGCGGGACATGACAGGCAAAACCTGCCTTACGCTACAAGGAGAAAGACAATAGCGGCAGGGTCCTTCTGGTAACCACATACCATCCTGTCCTTAAGAACCTTAGCGGTTTCCTTCAAAAGAACCTACCAATTCTCCATTCAAACAAACGAATGGCAGAGGTCTTAAGGAACCCCAATTGGCTGCATACAGACGCCCAAGGAACCTAAAGGATATGGTAGTAAGAACCAGACTGGACAACCCATTACCTAACAGGGGGCTTTAAAACTTGCTCTGACAGAAGATGTCTTATTTTTTTAGCACAGCACTGACACAGACAGTTTTAACAGCCCTGTTACAGGCCGCAGGCCGCAGCTACAAAATACTAAGGATTTTGTCCTGTCATACTGACAACTGCATTTATCTCATCAGTTGCAAAGTTTGCTCCAAACAGTATACTGGTGAAACAGGAGATCTCCGCAGGAGAGTCAATAACCACCGTTCGACCATTAGGACCAAAAAACTCAATGAACCCGTTGGAGAACATTTCAACCTTGAGGCTCACAAATGGGAGGACATGACAGTAGTGGTGATTGACCATAACCCAAGATGGACAGATGCTCAGAGAAAAGCAAAGAAAAGTTCTGGATGCACAGACTGAAGTCATTCCGCCCTAATGGTATTAACAAACTGAATGACTTCACCAGAATGAACGTAAACTAAACCCAATTCCTGATGATACTAAACAAGATTATTT